ATATGAAGCTATTGGAGTAGAAGAGACGGCTACATTTAATGGTTTCGAAATTGAAAGGGTGAGAGCGGGATGCCAGCCTCGTAGGGCGCTTGAATTCATGAAGTCTGGGAACCAGCGAATGGAACTCATCGGAGCAATTACCATGAAAGTATTTGTAAAAAAGACAGAGAGGCGACGGTGATTTTACTATAAAATGTACTGTTGGTAATTCTACACTAAAATGAATTGTTGGTCATTTTGCTATAAAATGTACTATTGGTAATTCAGATCTAAATGTATCTATAAATAGGTAATGTTAGTAATTTTTTTTATAAAAATGTATTGCTGGTATTTTTATTATAAAAATAGTTTTTTATAATTTCCTGGCGTTTTTTCTTTTTTTGTGGGTACACTATTTGCCCAAAGTTGGGACCCTAACAGGTGCTACCACCCTACATCAGAATGGACCAGGGAACAACAGCAATTAAGAGGTAGTTCTACGCTGCTGAAAACGTCCAATATCCCGATCAGGGGTCTTGTTGGCTGATGTAGTATACGGTGTTTGACTTTTTACCTGAAAGTTGCGTAATGATATGAAAAGCCAAGGCATTTTATTTTCTGTCTATTTCTTTGTATCTTTTATAATTCTCATCGCTCTCACATATTTGAAGATCTACAGTGTGTATCTGCCAGTCCTGATTTGGCATCGAGGCCCCAGTCATTACCAGGTAATGTCTGTTACCCTTGCCTTTTTCTATAAATATTTTGAGCGTAACTGTTCTGGTGAGCGTCCCTCTTTTATACCTAGATATTATGAAGTTAAGCGCAGCACTAGATTGGAACGGTGGAGTAATGGATAGCGGCTCGGTTTGAGAAAAAAAGAGAGCCGAGTTCGAATTCCAGTCGAATCCATTGCATTCACTTACGTGCTAATACCCTTGGGAAAGATATGAATCCTCTTCTTCTCCCTCCCAGGTATGGGTAAATAGCAGGACAGACTGGGTTCTATAGCCTTTGATAGCAACTGGTCTACCGCAGAAAGAAATGGTAACCTACTGCGGGAAAAAGTCTGCCTCGTCAGTCATGTATCGAAAGATACATGATCACCTAAGCGTGTATCACGCATGGCACATAACAGAACTGATATTCACTTACGTGCTAATACTCTTGGGAAAGGTATGAATTCTATTCTTCTCGTTCCCCCCCCACCCCGCCCAGCTACGGGTAAATAGCAAGACAGACCGGGTTCTATAGCCGTGGATGGCAACTGGTCTACCGCAGAAAGAAATGGTAAGCTACCCCGGGAAAAAATCTGCCTCGTCAGTCATGTATCGAAAGATACATGATCGCCTAAGCGTGTATCACACATGGTACTTAACTGACTGATTAGATTTTACAGTCGAAATGGCGAGATATAACCGTAAGTTCTATGCTAATAGTTTCTTCTATTGCACTTCTTCATGGAACTCTCTTCATGGACTTATTGTGGAATTTTCTTGTGGACTTATTCTTCAATCTGCAGCTTCTTTCCGACAGATGCAACATAGCAAGCCTTTTGATACTCTTTCGCTATCTCCATGGCAAATGTTCATATGAGCTCTATTCTTTAATTTCACCAGTTTAGGCCTTTACTGTTCCAACAGGCCGTGCCACTTCCAAGAAGTCGAGTCACCCTCATTTCTCCCATGTTCCAAATGTAAAAAGAACCTTCCAGTCAGACAGCTTTTTCCCAATTACTTCTACTTTGTAAAACAGACTCCCGCATGTGTGCTTACTTGAGCAGTTCAATCGAGTGTCCTGTGTCTTTACTGTAAATAATTTCATGCTAATTCATCTTTTCCCTATGGTAAACAGACTTTATGAATTTAAGTGCAGTACTCGATTGGTGGTAAGGTCTCATCATTTTACAGTTGAAACGGCTAGATGGAACTGTATGTTCTATACTAACAGTTTCTTCGCACGAACTTCCTGATTGTGGAACTCTCTTCCGGTCTCTTGATTTTGCTTTGGTCTTCAAAAATTTAAATGCAATATCACTCGTTACTTGTCTTCTAAGATATATATGAGGTTCGCGCTTTATAATTTTCCTCCTCAATGAGATGGAATGGTGTTATGGTTTTAGATTCAGAGTTTTCCTTTCTCCTTGACTGGTTGCAAACTCTCTTTAAAGAGCCCAGTCTGCTTTGCTATTTAACCTATAGCTTGGGGAGAAAAACAAGATTCATGCCTTTCCCAGTATTTTATTACTGAACAATTTTTGTTCTTGGCCCATATGTATATGCATGCATACGGCGCTCCCCACATTAAAACGACCTTGTGTCACATATAACATTGGTGGGTAGGCCAGGTAAATATACCTGCTATGTCTTATCTTTACAAAACACGGATCATATGAAATGCAAATATTGCTGTCATATATGATCTGAAGCTGCCCAACACAGAGTTTAAAATCGTCTACACGGCCTTGTAGGTGATGGATTGTTTTCCGCCTTACAACCACTTGCTGACAGGGGAAAGCGTCGCAAGCCTCCCGTTATTCTGTCACTATTTCCATGGTATTATTCGTTCTGACGAGCCCAATGATTTAATTCCACCTTTGGAACAGACTCCCAAGTGGATGCTTCTCTGATCACGACAGTCTTAACCTCTTCATGTCTAGGGTCAACCTTTATATTTTATACAGGCTGTGGCAGAAAAACCTCCCACATATACCTCCAAGAAATAACTCCCACATAATGGTAAGATATTAGTGGCAATGGTGTCTTCATCTAGATAATGCCTGAAGTGGAAGGTATTTCTAACACACACTGTATTTAAATAGGAGAGCTCTCTTTATTAAAACTTTTAGCAGCAACACAACATTTGGCATTATGGTGATTTTTCTAATCGTAGCTTAGATGTGGCACAAGGCCAAAAATATGGAGCACTCAGTTAGGGTCAAACTCACTGCTCAAGCATAACTTATCTAGCGAGACAAGCTTGCTAATCATTATACCATATCTAAATACCCAATGATTTTTTTAAAATGTAGCTTATATATATATATATATATATATATATATATATATGAGGTTTGACAGAAATACTTCCCATATAATGGTAAGACATTAGTGGTAATGGCGTCTTCATCTCGCTAATGTCTTACCATTATGTGGAAATTTCTGTCACAGACTCTACATATCTTCATAATTCTTACCGTTTCCTCTTATTTTCATTCAACGAGCACATTCAGTAAACCACTACCTTGGGTGGCACTTGGACCTTTTATTTGGGGAATATTTGAAAAAAGATGACAAAAAGTGACTCCCCTTTTTTAGAGGAACACAATAAGTTTTTTTTTATAATAACAGAACAGAATAGTTTTTCGTAATCTTCATATCTATATAAACAAAGCGCAGTGTACGTGTGTCCGTCCGTCTGTCCGTCTGTCCGTTTTTCGATCTCGGCCAATCATGAAGTAACAGGTCGTAACTACTGTAGTTACACGCGATTAAAAATTAAATAAATAACTCATTTAAAGTTTAATTTAACCCTAGAATACTAACCATGGGTATATAGTATACAACGTCAAATTTTCCTATTTTTAATTACAATTTTCAGTACCTGATTTTCTTACTCAAATAATATGTTTATCAGTACCTATTAATGTTAAATCAAAGTACAAAGTTAGAAGTGTTTGCATGTAAAATATTTCAAGTAAAGATTTATATTTAATATTTATTTTGATATTTTCAAAATTGCGTACGATATACCCATGGTTAGTAGTGGTGTAACTTTAATTGATGGTTAGTGTTCTAGGGTTAAATATCGAACAGAGTGAAAGGTTTGAAAGGCCGAAACGTTGTTATAAATATGGCGACAAAGATGAAAACAATAGTCCTAATAATGTAAATAGTGTACATAATACCTCATCACAAAAATATAGACAGATACTGAAGGGCCGAAACGTTGTAATAAATATGGCGACAAAGATGAAAACAATAGTCCTAATAATGTAAATAGTGTATATAATACCTCATCACAAAAATATAGACAGATACTGAAGGGCCGAAACGTTGTAATAAATATGGCGACAAAGATGAAAACAATAGTCCTAATAATGTAAATAGTGTACATAATACCTCATCACAAAAATATAGACAGATACTGAAGGGCCGAAACGTTGTAATAAATATGGCGACAAAGATGAAAACAATAGTCCTAATAATGTAAATAGTGTACATAATACCTCATCACAAAAATATAGACAGATACTGAAGGGCCGAAACGTTGTAATAAATATGGCGACAAAGATGAAAACAATAGTCCTAATAATGTAAATAGTGTACATAATACCTCATCACAAAATATAGACAGATACTGAAGGGCCGAAACGTTGTAATAAATATGGCGACAAAGATGAAAACAATAGTCCTAATAATGTAAATAGTGTACATAATACCTCATCACAAAAATATAGACAGATACTGAAGGGCAGAAACGTTGTGATAAATATGGTAACAAATATGAGGACAATTGTCCGAATAATGTAAATAGTGTACATAATACCTCATCTCAGAAATATAGACAGATAATAATAAAAATCGTTTACACTTTAACTAGAAAACGTTGAAAATCCGTGGATTTTCAGATTTAAATGCAAATTTTGTCGTCTATTGTATCTGGATGTTTATTTTAGTCGAACCCATTCGATTTTTTTTATCAACCTGGATTTTTCGAAACGTTGTAATTTTGGCTGAAAACATTGTCCTTTAAATAGTGTACATAATACATCATCAGTAAAATTAGACAGGGAAGGGCAAAACGATGTGATGTATATGATGTTGTCCGAATAAATTGTACTAATAGAGCATTCAGAAATATAGGGATCTGTAAAATCGTTTACAGTCTGTTCAACTCTATTTCTGTCTCAGTTTAAATGCAAATTTTATCGTCTATTGTATCTATCTTTATTTTTATCCATTCGATTTTTTTATCAACCTATCTAATTTTCGTTTTGTTCCTTGCCATTGTCTATAATTATGCCATCATCAGCAGTAGTTTTGGTAAGGGAAGAAGATGTGCTATCTATTCTAAATCTAATAGAGCATTCAGAAATTGGGGTCTGTTCAGTCTGTTCATATCTATTTCTGTCTCAGTCTGTTCATATCTATCTATCTATCTATCTATCTATCTATCTATCTATCTATCTATCTATTCATATCTATCTATCTAATCTCAGTCTTGTTCCTTCCTTCATCTATCTATCTATCTATCTTCATCTATCTATTTCATCTGTTCATATCTATCTATCTATCTATCAGACTTGTATCTATTCATCTATCTATCTATCTATCTCATCTGTTCATATCTATCTATCTATCTTATCTATCTATCTATCTAATCTCAGACACTTTCCTTCCCATCTATCTATCTATCTATCTATCTATTCATCTCTATCTATCTATCTATCTGTCATCTATCTATCCTATCTATTCATCTATCTATCTATCTATCTATCTATCTATCTATCTATCTATCTATCTATCTAAATTCAATAGATTTAAGTAGCAGTTGTTCTTTCAAACACGTGTTATGGAAAGTGTTAGCAAAATGGCAAAATTTATAAGTGACACCTTTTGTTCGGAGGAAGAGAAATATAACGCCTTTATTGACGGAATAAGCTTCATGTTGAAAAGAAAATAGAATAACAACCGTTTAACCTTTAACTCGAAAATTCATTCACTTTATTTCTTTTTAGCTTTGAAAAGATACCCCTGAAGAAAAGTCACGCGAGTCGAAAGCTCGGATACAGCCTTGATTACAAATATTTTTTGCATCTGCATTAGTCAGGGCTGCCGAAGAATATTTGTAGTTTGGAAAAGGCAATGGTTAAATTCAGTAGACAAAGAATGTCTAACTTTTGTAATGTGCTTGGAAAAAAAATAAAAAACAAAAAACATTCCCATTACTATAGACCCACATATATAAAAATCTACATATTCAGTTAAAAATATCCTTGCTAACAGTTTTGTAGTTACACCCGGTACAAACACACACACACATATGTGTGTGTGTCTGTGTATACCATTGAATTCAACGCAATTTTCAGACCATCTATCATAAATATACCTACAACACACATATATATATAAGACATTTTTATGTTTAACGTTGTTTTTTTTATAGATACAAGTATTTAAGCAAATGCTCTGTTTATGATAAACAGTATTAAATAACATTTACCGGCCTGAATGTCCGAGAATTTTCATAGAAAATATTCGTCCTTTGACAGGATTCGAACCTGCATCCTATACGGAACCGTCATTTACGCTGACGTGCCTTATCCGATCGGCCACAAAGGAGAGTTCGGTAGACAAGGTCGAATTTACTGCTTATAAACTTCAATCTTCCATGAATCTCGTACATTCATAACTGCTCTGGCGTATCAAATGTAAACAAATGACGTCATATATTACGAAATATGTCGGACCATATATATGAAATTCCGTCGAATTCAGTGGACACTCGCACAGATATTGAAAACTTATATCCATGAATATGGTATAACCTAAAATATATTTTTTATCATATATATATATATATATATATATATATATATATATATATATATATATATATATATATATATATATATAAATATATATATATATAATATACAATGCTATGAAAGCAGCATCTCTATCTGAAATGAAATTCTCTGATTCATTTAATGTTACAAATGGCACGAATCTAGGTTTTGTCATGGCCCCTGTTCTTATTGCTCTATTCTTCTCAGTAATGCTCAAATACCACTTTGGTGACATGGACACCGGGGTTTAAATTTCAATTTCGAACCAGAGGCGGCCTTGTCAACCATCGGCAGTTCAAATCTAAAACACTTATTCGAACTTGTGTCATTTGTGAGCTGCCGTTTGCTGATGATAACATTTTTGAGTCCCATGAAAACTAAAAAAAAAAAAAAAAAAAAAAAAACAAAAACAAAATTATCCAGCCGGGCTAAACCATAAATTTAACAATACAGATAGTACCAATATATAACTCAACAAATCAAAACCTACCCACATTTCTCACCTACACAAGACAGACATGCTTACGGAGGTGTGGAGGCCTCACACTTATACACACACCCACACGAATATATACACTTACACACATCATACTCACTCACTCCCTAAGAACCAAATAACACACACACAAATACTTAACAGAGACACATCCCCTCTCCAGGACCAATAAAACTGTCAAACTGACCAAGGGAATTCAGAGAAGCATAAATCCATCCAGCTCTTATCTCAAATAACAACTTAAAAGAGACTATTTGACCAACACAATGAATGTTAAAAGATTCATGTTAAAAAGATCAAAAAATAAAAAAAACAAATGAAAATTACAGACAAAAGTTCATTTTCTCCAGCAAAAGATTCATTTCTGTAGTTTACTGCTACCAGCAAGCAGAAATATTTCTTCGCCTGATGATGGCCATTTTGGCCGAAACTAGTCAAGGAATCTAAATGAAATAATAATAAAAAAAAACGAAAGAATATTAATCTACAACCCAGTGTGTCTAACGATTTTAATTTTTTAATTTTTTAATACTTTTTATTGTTCAATATATATATATGTATATATTATTTATTTATATATTTTATATATATATATATATATATATATATATATATATATATATATATATATATTAACATATATATATATGGTTTTAACATATATCTGTGTGGTTTTAACATATATATATATCTATATATATATACAGTTTTAACACACACACACACACACACACATATATATATATATATATATATGGTTTAAGGTTTATATATATATATTTTACATATATATATATATATATATATATAGTTTTTTATATATATATATATATATATTTTAACATATATATATGGTTTTAACATATATATATGGTTTTTACATATATATATATATATATATATATATATATATATATATATATATATATATATATATATATATATATATATGGTTTTAATATATATATATATATATATATATATATATATATTATGTTTGATTGATGTGAGATTGTGACCTGGGTTTCACTCTGACGATCGCAAAAGCGTGAAACCCAGGGTCACAAACTCACATCTATCCAACCAAATATGTTAGCTCTATCTCTGATATTGAGCGCTTTCTAGTAAGTACCGCGCATATAATATATAAATAATTATATATATATATTCATATTTATATACACACACTTTTCACATATATATATATATATATATATATATATGAGTGGTCATTTCCAGCGTGTGGCACATTTGGCAAGTGCCCGCAAACCACACCACGGGTTGACCGAAGATTTGTCAGTGAAATTGGGCAGTCGGAACTCTAGGAGCCCTTCGATAGCTAAGCTACCACGAGGTCACAAGTCACTGTGTACGAGGGCTTCAGCATGCTGGCCTTGTTCAAATTGTTCATCACGTTAGATAACGCGCTCTATCCCAGAAACTGTAACTAAGGTCTACTCAGCATAATTGCAGTATAAGTGGGTTCTGTGGGTGTTGAAGAAACACAAATGCGCCTGAGCAACCGTCTGCAGTAGGGATTGGCTAGCCAGCCTAGTAGACGGGTATCCTCGAATACGAATGCCCGGAAATAAATATATATATATATATATATATATATATATATATAACGTCATCCACAGACAGACTGTTTCGCTGTTTCACAGCTCATCAGTGTGGCTAGACATCCGGTTGCCTCTAGCTAGGATCGAAACCCGACTGAATTGGTTTCAGTCGGAGATTCTAACCATTAATCCGTCGGCGCACGGTAGGGATGAAAGTGAATTTTTTAGAGTATTTATTTTTACAAACACGCCCAGTGACCGACAGTGACTCAATTCGCATCTGCGAAGAGTCTTGCTATATAGCTATAATAGTCACTGTTTACCAACCCACACCTCGTCCCCAGAGAGCTCAACTGAAATTGATATTTCAGGAGCCAATATAACGTCATATATATAAATTTGGGATGTATAAAAATTTTCGCGTCTCTCCATTCGTGCGCATGTGTAGTTACAACAGCGAAATCATCACATTACATTACCCTCACATTTATTTCCATTTTGTCATTGCGTTCACACACACACACACACACACACACACACATATATATATATATACACATATATATATATATATATATATATATATATATATATATATATGTATGTATATATATCTGTGTGTGTGTAGTTAGGTAGAAGATTGTCCAAACATTTCCATCAGTCCTGCATCACTATGTTGTCGGCTAGATAATTGTATATGGAAGGCCGCTTCTTAAATTACGACGCCTTCTATATTACTCAGAGGAACCGATCTTTCTCGCTGGAAACAGCTACATGCTTAGAAAAAGGCTCCAAAGAACGTAATGATATTGATTGATACGCAATGTAAGCCCAACGTGGCTTGTCTCAGACCTTACGGCTCGAAAATGAAATAGATAATCTTGGACAAAAGAAAAAAAGAAATGAAAAGAAGGAAAACTGGCCAAATAGGTTATGCAAATGAAAAGACAATGTGAGTGGCATTTGAAAGGGCGTATCCCGGGATTGCAAGAAAATTAGACGACGCACGTCATCATTAAAAAAAAAAGTATAATTAAGTTTATTTAAAAGATAACGGAAATTAAGGAAATAATAATGAAACCAATAATATAATATTGTTAGCAAAATGGTTCAGCCTAACCTGCAAATTACAGATTGGAGATTCCAAAAGAAAATATATATAACAAATTTGATAGGTTTGTTTAGCGACATATCGACTCCTTATGGGTCATTTAATGTCGAAATTTAATTCTCCTGGGAGCACTAACCATTTGAGACCTGACCGCTGAGAAAAATGACATAATGCCCAGCCACCGCTTGAATAGTGGTCGAGAAAAATGACTTAATGCCCAGACACCGGTTGAATAGTGGTCGAGATAAATGACTTAATGCCCAGCCACCGGTTGAATAGTGGTCGAGAAAAATGACATAATGCCCAGACACCGGTTGAATAGTGGTCGAGAAAAATGACGTAATGTCCAGCCACCGGGAACAACAGCAATTGAGAGGTAGTCGCAAATTCCTCAAAATTTCCCGATCAGAGTCCTTGCTGACGGATGCAGTTTATCCACATGCTCAGCTTGAGCCATTTTGCGTGAGTGGTTGTGGAAACATGTGGTAATTGATCCAATTACCACATGTTTCCATGATTGGATAGCAAAGCTTCTTTACTGCGTTCGACAAACCACAGTGACAGGTAAAATTCATATGAAGAATGAAAAACCCATTAATCATTTATATATATATATATATATATATATATATATATATATATATATATTATAAATTAATTGATTTAAAATATGGTTATTTTCGCTACACAGTTCCAACCATGTTTCAAAAATAGAAGCTAAAAACCCCTAATTTTATTTTTGCAAATAAATTAAAAGCATTAGTTCTATTTCATCTTCAAGCGAACACCGG